GTGAAAGGACGAGAAAATGCACTGAAGTGATCTAAGAAGTAAACTATCATCTTGACATGTTTTTTCTAGCTATTGAAAACCTTTCCATATTGCAACTCATTTTGACAGTGAAACTGTAGAATTCCTCTGATTTAAGTACCATCTGGTTATGCTCAAAGCTTTAAAGCTATTATCTCAGCATAAAATTTCAGCGTCCTATACTTTTTTCTTCACCAAACTATCCATTTTTAAGCCACAAATATTTTTCCAGTCTTTTCAGATTTTATCTAAAAGTATATTTTAACAGTATTTAAATAGTTCTTAAACAATAACAATTTATCTTGATAGATGACATGCTGTGTTTTTTCATTTTATTTTAATTATCCATTGTGGAGCCAAATTCCCTTTTGTTTTATTCCTTTGAATACTGTTTAATTATAGTTATCATGCCAAATATCTTAAAGGTTATTTTACCAATACAGTTTCATTTAACATAAGCCATGTGGAATCAATAGTCCTGTTTCCTAAAGTGAATGCTTGGAAAATCTTACATTCATATGTTAAGAGTACACATCCTTTCCTCATTAGTTGGAAAGTACAGGGATTTTGGCACAGGTTCTGTGTGGAAGCATTGTGCAGCTTTTATATGGATTTTGTTTTTAGCCTTTGATGACACTGTTTAGAATAGGAAGTATCTAATAAGTAAAGCATTTTGTCTAATGTGCTGCCAGTGTGTTTAATATATGCCTGGAGGTCTGAAACATTATCTTCTCCACTACAGTAATATGCATTTAATTCTCTGAAAGCAGAAGGTCGAACTTTTAAAAGGGACTCGAAGTACATTTTCAACTAAAATAATTTAAAACACATGAGATAGGAGACCAGAGTAATGTACAGTTGGTTTTTATGGTTTAATCATGATCATGTTAATGCACACCAGTAGCTAATTAAAGAAAACTTTTATTGTTCATTTTAAATGGGTTATGTAAAGAGTAAGAGAATTGATATAATACAGCCCAATGATAAATGTTACCATTACATTTGCTAACAGCAAGCTGATATTGCTGTGCTTGACATATTTAAAGTATTGGCCCATTTATTCCATAATAAAGCAAAGAATCTTTTTAGAGTTAATATACTGAGAGTCATTCCCTCTCATCTCCTTATCCTGTTAGAGGAATACCTAAATGATTCCCAAGTATATTACTAGGTGCATTTTCAGGTTAACTGTGAAATTTGGTTGGAAGGCTTGATGCTTACTGAGCTGAAATTGGTGCAAGAAGTTCCGGTGGTGCTTCTGCACCTTTATTTTTTACCCAGTTGTGTTGTATAAAACTGTCTTGCAAATCATTACTCACTTGTTCCAACCTTTATAATATATGTGGTAAGAGCATACGTGCGTCAAAGTTTCATTGTGGAACCGGGTGGCATGGAAACCTGTAACAGTATACGGTGTCTTTCACCTTTCGGGCACTGGTTCATATTCCATGCTGCTTAGTACTGAGCAGAAGTCACCATCTGACTGCTGTTCGGTGACCTGCATGAATTGATTTGGGGTCTCAGTAAAGTTTCTGTAGTCGAATGTCTGCATAACAGGAAACTCTGCAGTTGGGGCCAATTAGCACCCGTGCAGTAGTTTTCACAGAGTAACTGTAGTCTGAATGGGGATGGAGGCACAGCTACTTTCTTACCTTCCTCGAGGTGCTTCACATAGACTAGCACATTTAATCAATACTTAATTATAAAAAGAGGCAGAAGAAAAGAACTAGGCTTCAAGTCAAACCTGTTCAGGTGTGAGAAGAGATGATCTGTTCAGAAACCAGATGTACTATGCTTTCTCCCTCCACTCAGTCATACACGTGCAATGCTTTTCTCCCTGGAAGATTATCATTTAGTGGATGATGCTGTATTTTCAATCCCTCTAGCCAAGTCAAGCACAACCTAAATGTCACATAGCTGTAGAAATTTCTGCTGCATAGAGAACAAGAGAATACCATGTAGTACCCACAAGAGCATCATTCACTACAGAACCATACTTTCTAAAAAGATTTTTCATCAGACTGAACTGGTGGCTACAGAGTAGATAAAAATTGCTAGGTTTAGCAGCATATGCCCTCTTCTTCGTTTTAGGCAGCATTTCCATGAAATGATAAGGCAAGATTGTTTCACAGCTCTGTCGTTTCTGCCTTCTGCTTGCCCTCAGTACAGGAGCAGTAAAACCATCTGTACCATTTCTGACGATGCCATCAGGGCAGGATATGGGCATATATCCAATGAAGTATGGATACTTCATTGTTTACCAGCCAGAGGGGCTGAGGTGTAAGTAGCCTGACTGTGCTAGGATATCAGGAGGAGTCAGGATTTCTTGGCTCACACTGTAGTAATTCATTAAAATGTTCACTTGTGATTTTTACAGAGGCTGCATTAAAAGTGGTATCACATTTACAAGTCAGTGATATGAGTCTGCCGTAGAAATCAGTCGTGAGGAATTTTATTGGTTATTTGAAAAATATGTACAAGTGAATCTGAAAAGATTGTAACCAGAGCTGGCAAAAACCTTTTCAAAGAAAATCCCAGCTAGTTAATGGTTCTGTTTTAGGATTTCCTCTGTAATGCTTTTTTTTAGTATGTTCATTGCTTTAAAGAAAACAGGAGACGGTTGCTCCCTTTGTTTCATAAAGTACAATCTAAAGGAACCTTTAAAAAAACTGCTTTTAAGTACCCCACAATCCAATTGCTGCAGTATGTGTAGAAGCTATAAATATTGCTGCATAAAGACCAAAGTTTGAAGAATATCAGTAATTCAGTACTATTCATTCCTGTAGTTAAGTGGCTGATAATTTGTAAGTACTTGCAAGTCATAATTGTATTTTTCAAGAGGAAGTTAAGATATGGTTTGTCCTAGTTAGTATCTGCCTTTTCAAGGATTCACTAGGGTGGAGAATATAAAAAGAAACTATTACAGAATCACAGAATGGTTCAGATGGAACTTCTTATGCTTCAGTTTGTGGCCATTGCCCCTTGTCCTGTCGCTGGGTGCTGTTGAACTAGGTCCTACTTGAAGGACAAAAGTAGGCCCAATGAAGTAAGTAGGACCCACTACTGAAGTAGGTCCTTGAACGAAGAAGTGAAATCATGGAGTTAATATGCAGTGGCAGCCAAAAAAACCCCGCAAAATATTGGACATCATCAGGATGGAGACTGAGAAGAAGACAGAAGGCATCATTTTAATGCTGTATAAAACCACAGCGATCCCACTTCTTTAATACTGTGTAGAGTACTCCAGAAGTGCACAGTGAAGTTACAGAAGTAGGGAAGGGAAGCTAAAATGATTAAAGGTGCTGAAGCAGCTTCTTTGTGACGAGACACTAAAAAGGCTGGGATTTCCGTGTCTGGAGAGGAGAAGGCTGAGGGGGGGCTATGGTCGAGGTTTACAAAGACAGAGCAACAGTGATAAAGCTGAAAAGCAGACCTGAACATCCAAATCACGCACTACAAAAGATGGGCGAAATGCAATGACACTGGTAGGAGATTGGTTTAAACCAAAGGAAAAAAAAAAAATAGAACTTGCTGCCCTGGAATGTTGTGGATGCCAAACACCGTCCACATATTCAAAAAGGAAGTGGATGAATTCATGGACAAGAAGTCCGGAAATGGTTGCTAATACAACTACACAGGCGTGTCCACTGGCATCCCGAATGCAGCAGTTGTGGGTGCTTGGGGAGTGGGAGAGGAGCAGATTGCAGGAAGCGGCCAGGGTCTGCGGTCACTCTCGACAGAGTCTGCTCCTGGTGCTGTCAGAAACAGCGTATGCGGCTGGACGGGTTGTGAATCTGACTGAGTTGGGCATTCCTTATGTTGGCTCTTGTACGGAGTAGAGCAGAAACACTTCTGGACAGCAGAGGTGGAAGTGTTAGTTAAGCTGTGGAAGCTGCACAGGGTAAATGCATGACTCTCAGCTCCATATGAATCTGAGGAGTTGGCCATATATTGTTGTTGTTATTACTTAATTTCTGCAGGGTTTCTTTTTCCACATATTTTAGCATATGCTCACTGCCTTGTCCTGAAGCTGTTTGTAGGATTTCTACTTTTTTCACAAGCAGTATTGAAAGTGGTTTTTTCCTGAAGCATTTCCTTGTCTAGGATGTCTCTGTTTCTTGACCTGGTACAGTGTGGTCCCTGGACGCAGCCTTGCAACTTTTGGTTTCACTCTTACATTTCCTGTGATACAAGGAACATTCTTTTTTCCGTTTATCGGTGGTGTGTGTTTTCTTTTAAAATATTTCTGTATGCAATGGTTTCTCATGTGAAGCCCTGTGAATGTCACAGCCAAGCCCATATGTATCCTTGGTGAGCCTTGGTAAGCCAAGAACTAGTACCCTGTCACAGAGCCAGTCTTTAGATAGTGCTGACGTTTCCTTCAACTTTGGTGTTTTATATAAGGCAGCTGTCATTTCCATGACTCTTAAGAAAAATGTTTTTTCTACAAGATAATATTTATACATTTCAGCTTACAATTTCCTTTTAGTCTTTTTTGTGATTTTGCAGTAGATTAATGCTACATTCTATTTCATCTAATCACGGTAAAATATTTTAGTGCCAAAGAGGACTTTCTGACCATTGGTGCTTAAAAATGGAGAACAATTCTGACTAGGCTTTTTATTTACAATGCATTATTTTACAGAAATATGGATTTATATTAAGCAATAGGTTTCTTGTAGAGTCTTTAGAGTTTAAAAAATAATTTAAATTTTAAAAAAGGTCATTTAAGCCTAGAAATCATTACTCTTTTTTTTTTCCTTCACATGTTCTTTTGGCACTTCATCTGTTGTGAGTCATCATTTCATTGGAACAGACACCTGCTGTGTTTTCATGAGTGATTACTGTGTTAACCTGGCAGATATTTTTTTTTATAATTCTCTTTTTTGACATCGTGTTTATGTAGTGATTGTTTACTGCCACTGAAATGGAAATAGTTGGGATATGGATATCGTAAGTTAATATAATATTTTCCTTTGCAGGTTTCCAAACAAGAGCAGAAAAAAATGGATGTGTCTGATGGAGGAACAGTCGAGACTTCTTCCCGTTATAGTGGGGCACAAGACAGTGGAATTGGCAGCGACAGTGTTAAGATCAGAATCGTTCAGATTGAGCAGCATAGCGGTACCAGCCAGCACCGTATCGCCCGTCCTTCCCGCCAGTCTTCCATCGTGAAGAACCTCAATTTCATTCCTTTTGACATTTTTGTTACAGCAAGTCGAATCTCCGTGATGACTTACTCATGCACTGCCTTACCTAAATCAAAATCAGTACAAGATCAGAAAGATGGTGAGAAAATAAGCAAAAGCTCCTTGAACCTTCCGGAAGCGGGCTCAGATGGCAGCCATGATACCAAGAAGCCCAGTGAGCCATGCATTTCCTCCGTCACAGCGGACGATCTGTTGAACAGTAATGTTCCTCTGTCTGCTGGGAGAAAAACAGGGCTTTTGTCACTGGAAAGTCTGCATGCTTCCACAAGATCGTCTGCTCGACAAGCCCTGGGTATAACTATTGTTCGGCAGCCTGGTCGCAGGGGAACGGGGGACATAGAGCTCCAGCCGTTTCTCTACCTTGTCGTATCGCAGCCCTCTGTGCTCCTGAGCTGCCACCACAGAAAGCAAAAGGTAGAAATATCAGTGTTCGACGCTGGTCTTAAAGGAGTGGCCTCAGACTACAAGTGTACAGGTAAGAGCATTGAACATTCACTCCTGGTTGTAACTGCCAGAATAATTACACTTCTTAAAGTTACTGAAGCAGTGGAAAACAGCAGAGAGACTTCTAGGACCTCTTTAAAAATCAAATGGTAAATATACATATTTTTAGGATTATAGCCCACAGCTGAATCAAGGCAAGTGTGTTAAAAGTTTGACATTAATTAAGATCTAACCTTTTAGCAACCAGTTCTTCCTGTTCCTCGATATTACTTTCTCATTACCAGATTGCGATAGTTATTGTTGCATTACTCTAACTTCTCAATATTTTCTAAGGAAGTAAGAGTTGTAAGCCAAGCTGATTTCATGAAAAGCATTTTTTTATGACTGAATATCACAATATTTTCTGATATTAGTCTACTGATAAAATTTAAAGGTAAACATTGTAGAAACACCTGGTGTTTTGATCATAAACTGTAAGAAAATTATAGTGATCTTCCAAATCACATCCAATGATGTCATGTATTTTAAGTTTTCGTTCAACTGAGTAATAGGGTTCTGCAAGAATTTCCTTCTCTTAATAAATGGCTTTTCTTTTTTAATGTTTTTTATATGCAAAGATTATAATAAGAAATATCAGAATAACAGTTCAGAAGACAATATTCTAAAAATTTCCTTTTCTGTCTTATCTGTACTGCTGAAGAGAGAAATTAAATTATTGCAGTTCATTTGTCTGACAGCCAGTACTGGATGTAAGAATTGAATGAGATAAATTATTACAGAGTATTACCCCAAAAAAGTGTAAATGGGGATACAGAGATCTGCTGAACACACAGCCAGATAAGTGTGGGGTTTTAAATTGTTCGCTGAATGAGAGCTGTAGGTAAAACAGATTGCGTTTTTTTTGTTACCAGAGTTCATACAGCACACCAGTTGTGAAAAATAGCATGGGATTTTTGTACAGCTATACCGAATCTTTGCTGAATGAGATGGTACCTTTTGAAAATTGGCATTAAAATAATACGTTTATGGAAAGGACTAAAATTTCTATGTTTAATGGATCTTAACTTTTTTCAGAGATCTGAATTATAGTGGAACTTTAAAGTGGGATTAAACAGTGAGGAAGATTTAGACAACTGGGAAGAAGATACTTAAAATATGGAAATTCATTCTCTGCCATGTTTTCTTTTGTCATTCTTCCATTTTCGTCTTTGCTGTTGCTGTCCTGTCTTGAAACACAGCTGTGTCATGAATTTGATTTACTCCAGATTCCCATGTATATTTGTTAAATGCTGTGTAAAAGATGGTCATTATCGCAAGTAATATACAAATAATTAACATATCAATTAACAAAGCAAAGCTTGAAGGAAAGTTTTAGTTGTAAGTTAAAAAGCACAGCTTCATTGACTTAGCATTTTGGAAAGATGGGATAGGACTTCTTCATTTCTCATGTCTGAGGCATTCAAGCATGTCCTTGTACAAGCTGCCACCACATTACCAATAAACTGGGCAAAGTTCTCTCCATTCTTCTACAGTTAACTGCTGAAGTCTTTCACCGTCTTCATGTCTACGGGAGCAATTCTAGAAAGCACAAGCTGTAATAAAGTCTTCCTACAAATTGAAAGTGGATCAGAGAGCACAGAAGCACGGCAAGAAGTTTAAATAATATAGTAGGAACATACAGTCCAAGAGCTCCTCAGTCACCAGCAGATGTTCAGTGAGACCCAAAGAGGTCTTCTTGGACAACCAAAGACTGGCCCTACATGGGTCTTACCCTTTTCTTTGGCATTTTGTCTCCGTGCCAGGCAAAGGTAATAGAGTGTGGAGGCAGGAGTCAGACATTATGTGAAGGCAGAAGATCTGGTCTCATCCTGCTGCCTTTGTGGGCAGTAGTAAGTACCTTACTCATGTATCAAACAGAATCCTATGCTTGCTAATGAAGCATTAGTGCTCTTTTCAAAAAAGTTTGCAAGATGGGTGCCAAATTCTAGTGCCTAAAAACACTATCCTAAATGTGTTAATAAGTTAATAAAACTAATCAACACTTCAAGTCACACGCTAACTCACACAGCAAAATAGGTAGTATAAAGTTTTTATTGCCTCTTGTTTAGGAAGACCTGCTGTGCAGGCAATTGCATCGTTTAGGATTAATGTTGTCATACCACTGTAGTACCATGTTAGTTTTGGAAATTTCTGTTTTTCATTTCCAGCACACGTATTTGAGGGGAAGACTTGAACTGAAGACTTGACTACTGTTAGTTCAACAGCAGTAGGTTCAAGTCTTATGAAATACCGTGCTATTTCTTACAGCTTTTCTAAAACGAAAAAATATGCAGTTCTGAAACAACTCTCCTATCTTGCGAGGCAGAAGCAAATACAAAATTCTATTGTGAAATTAGGAAAGTCTTATTTTTTTGATGGACAGTAACTCCAAGAAAAATTTCAGGGTAAAGAAAAGCTGGTAGTAGTTTGCACCCAGTTATGTTTTCCATCCCTCCCCTCCCATCAATGCACCAGTGTGAATTTTAAAGAGAATAATAGTTAATCCTGGGCTGGTGACAAAATTAAGCTTACTGCCTGATGATGGTCTGCTGCTTTGAGCATGCGTAGAAAGAAGTGAGAGGGAGTATTGCACAGTGGCCGAAACACCAAACTTCGTCCAAAGAACTTTGCTCCTGTGTCACCAGTTGTGTTATTTTTTGCTTGCTTTCTGAAACATGAAAGAAATAAAAACTTGAGAATAAAATAGGAGGAAATAGGCTACTAGAAAGTTAAGTATTGTTAGTGTGTTAATTAGCAGTTAGTAGCAGCACATTTCCATCAGGCCAGTGTCTGTATGTGGGAGCATTTGCCTGCCTTGGAGCTAAAGACCTGATGGTTGTGCTTTCAATTTCCTCAGTCCTTCTCTCCAACCAAGTCCGCCGGCAAGTCAGTTTGTAGGAGGAGGCGACTTATTAGGCTATTAAAATGTTAGCTTAGTTTTATTATGGTTGTGCTAAACTGCTTCATTCGTGTTTTGAATCATTTTTGTAATTGCACAGCTTGATTACAATTATGCTACTGCCAGGTATAGGAACTTCAGATCAAAGTAAATACATTAATGGAATAAATATCAACTGCTTAGTAACCACCGTTAAAAAGAAATAGTTGCTCCCTTAGTTTACTTGTAAGGTTCTGTATAAATAGCCTGAAAGATCCTATAAAACATTTTTTTATTCAGTGCTCATCCTGCATTTAACAAAACTACATCTGCGAACCATTAGTTTTTGCGAACAGAGCATCGGCCATTTCCACTTAAACAAAAGTGGGTGCAATTGTTTTTAATGTAATCTCATAAGCAGCTTTTATAAATATTTTTTTAAATCTTTATTTGCTTTGTTTCAGGTAATGTGATCCAGATACAAAATTGCCTCATTTCCTGAGCATTGTGCTCTGGGCATGCTTAAAAAATCTTTTTTCTGTTTGTTTGTTTGTTTACTTTCAAAGAGGAGGTTGTGGTGCTTGGTCGTTTTGAGGGAGAGAAGTTTCTCAATAAATATCTTGTTATGCACGGAATTTCTTCAACTTCCGCCAATGAAGCATTTGCAAAAAAACAAGCATTGTGAGGCCATCCAGAATTATTCTTGATTTTTTTTTTTTTCACTTTTTTTACACCCACGCCTTTGATGGCAGGGGGTCCATGAAGAGCAGATGCAGTAGCTAAGCCCACGTGTCACCCCTGATCTAATGGAAAGCCCAGGCTGCAGGGTGAGGAAGTCTGAGTCACTGCCTCTGTCAGCCCGGGCTTCCTCCAAGGCGGGGAGCGGGTGGAAGGCTCTTTGCTTGTGCAGCGTTGAGGGAGTTCTGCTGGAGTGTCACCTGTTCCCCTCCGAGTATAGTTATTGTCCGGGACATCTGCATCCATGGTCGTGGCAGGGGGCATGCAGCCCCCACCCGTAAAGACAAGCTGGCCTGGGAATGTGCATTCCTCAGCTTACTGTAAGTGCTCATTTTTGAACTTCCTGACGCAGCATTTGTGAGTACACCAGTAGAAATGTTTTCCCACTTGTGTTCTTTATATTCCAATGGAAACCATTTTTAAAACAAGACCAAACGTTCCACTTCAGAGTCTGAAACGCAGAGATGATTGCAGAATTGTACTGGCTTTTAAAATTGACTGCAGACCAAAAGGTGATTCATCCATTGAAATAAAAGCGTGTTGCAAAGCTCATTTGGTCTGGGTAAAGTTCCAGCTGAACTGGCCAAGCTGCTGTCCCATGTGCCTGCTCGGTAGCCCTGTCCCCTGCCTGGCGGCTGCCGGGGTCTGGGGGTCACTGAGCCCCCCCATTCAAGCCTCCCACGGGCTGTGCCCCCTGCACTGCCCTGGCACTCAGCTGCAGACTAGAACAAAACCAGGTTTTGGAGAAGGAAAGTCTTCAAAAAGTGAAATTTCTCCTGCTTTCCACCTTTCCTTTCCTTTCCCTTTACTCCCCTTTCTTTGCAGAAGTTTGGGGTTTTTTGCTGTGTGCTGTTAACGTAAGAATGAAGGGATAGCAGGTGAAATCAAAAACTTGCAAATTCAGGTTGAGTTCAGGAATATACTTCATAAACTGTGGAGTTTGAAGCTGAGATCTGGACCTTAGCAAGGCTAAAAGTGGTTTTGGATGTTTGGGTGGATTAAAAAATAGCCAGAGATTATTTTTTTCTTTAAAAAAGGGGAGAAAAATACGGACGTATCAAAGGCCTCATCTGCTCAGTCTTACACATTTTAAGTTACGGTCTTGGTTGTCAATCTGTGATAGTTCTCTCTCCTTTTTTCTTGATTGGCTTGCTGTGGAGTAATTCTAGCCTCTCCTTTTACTTATATATGCATCCCTTGGGTTTTCTCCAGAATTTTCTTTATACAAATAACTGCAAATTTAAGTGTTGATTTTTGGGAGAATCATAGAAAATGGAAATGGAAATGACCTATTATAATACATTATTCAGACCAGTTCCCTGCTGATGCATAATTGTTCCCTATTGTATATTTTATAGTGTTCTGTCAAGTGTATTTTTAAACATTCTGAATGTTTCCATCATTTCCTTGAGGGAGAAGAGTCCTTTTTCTAACAGCTCTCCTCATCAGGAATTCCTCCCTTTTCAGCCTAAATTATCTCATTTTCATTTGATTGCTTCTCTAAGCGATTCCTATGCCATAGGCATAGGGATTGATCAATTTATTTTGTTTTATCTCTTTCTTGATCCTTAATCCTATGAAAACGCATATGCTGTTTTCTACCTTAGAAGGTATTTTAATCAAGATACACATATTTCAGTCTTTTGACCTTTGATGTAAGTGAATGTGTCCTACCCAGATACATTTTCTAGCTCCTGCTTGGAACTCCATTCAAGTTTTTGAGGTAATACACCAGAAGAGTCAGTTTTGAAACCTCTGGGGTTTAGCTTTGTTCTGATCGTGTAAAAACTTATTTATTGATGTATGTCTGGCATATGTGGGTGTGCGGTCAAGTCTGTAACCCAGGTTCCAAATTAACCTCATGCTATGGATTTGGAACCACTGAAACTAGTTCTTAGCGTGGCCTTTTGGGATTATTACCCCTGATGCCAAATTGTGTCAATGCAACCATCCGGCTTCCAGAATTAGTTGTTTCAGAATAACACAGTTTCACTTGAACTTAAAAAAAAAAAAAAAAAAAAAAAGCTTGACATCAGTAAGGCCAGTGCTGGGTTAAGAGTTATATTTTTTGTTGGACTCAGACTAATTTTGTGCTTTGAGTTTTCTTTGTGTTGTGTTCCTAATCTGTAAGTTCTGGAGTCTTTCTTATTACTCGTGTATCCCAGTCCTGCAGTGCCCCAGGTAATGAAGAGGTGACAGTGCTGCGGTCCTTGGGGACATGACGGAGCAAAATAGTCTCCCGAGAACCCCATTGTTCCTTTTTTTTAGTATTATTCTGTGCTTACGTGCTGCCATTCCCAGCACCCTGAGGGAAGTGTTTGTGTAGCTAATGTATTAAGTCATGCAAGGATTTTCTGCTGTGTAAGGTCTTTTCATCAGAGATACTTTCATCTTTAAACAGCTACAACTTTGAAATAATTACGAAGTACTGTATAACATAAACACATCTTAGGATAATAATAGGAATACCTGTAAATGTATTCTGCAGAAGAAATGTTTGGCTAAATTTACTGGATTTTCTGAAAAGCTGATGGAAGATCTAGGTTGCTATATACAGTATGTGATGATATAATTCAGAAATGAGACAAAATAATGTTGCACATTGCAACATTTTGCCCCCTATTGGTACACCTAAATGTTTATGCTAATACTTCTGAAGGAACAATAACTTAGGAATCAATTTAATTGATTCAGTGATGTTCATTGCACAGTATTCAGTAGTATTTACAGTGCTTTATGCTATATTTTCAAAAAAACATTAGCCTGTTATTTATGATGAGCTACCAGCACAAAACAAGATATTATGCTATAGATCCAAATCAGAGATAAGGTCCTTGTTTCAGAACAACTACAAAACTGTATTTTGGAAAAAAAATATGTACTTTGGTGGTAAAGTTTTTTTATTATCATTATTTTAATGTACTAGGTAAACTCCAGACACAGGAAACGGGATATTCTCTAAAGCAGTTACTACAGAAAAGGGAGTGTGCCACACCATTCTGGTTAGTGAAATTAAAGGAAAGGGCTAAGAACCGTAAAAATGTAGCAATTCACATGGAAAATATACAAATCTGTTGTATGCAGTGACAGCTCTTAAATAACTGTTGAGAGCTGACTTTATAAATGCATAGCAGGAATAAAGGGAAGGAAAGGCTGTAATGTATATGCCATGCAGTACAAATACTGCTGTAAAGTCATTGCCTGAAAATTGATCAAATAAAAACAGAAGAATGTGCTAACTTTTGATCTTTTCCATATAGATCTAAAGTCATGATCAATTGGTTTCAGTAGGTTCTTTGAAATCACATAAGGGTTTGTATGTGCCAAGTTTTATATGAATCACATGATAAGGTCAAGAAATACAAATTCCAAAGCTGACTTTATATACCCAGTCCACATATGACTGTGATACCACAATACCATATGTTGACTATAATAGTGGGTATGTAAATACTGTTCTTGAAAGGAATCCATTCAGTAAAACTCAAATAAAGCAATTATAGCAGTTTTCAAGTGACTGAAAATGGGACAGGATAACATCAAGAAAATCTCCTTAAATCATTAAGGGTAAGGCAGACGTTCAATAATTAACATAGCAGCCTTTGTAATAAAGAATAATTTGTTATTTAGAATTGAAGACCTGTAGCGCCAGAATTGAGGACTATTATAATGTAGGTCATGAGTTGCTAAAGATTAGAAAGCCTTTTTACAGTACTGTTTTTGCCATTTGTGATATGCGGAAAATGAAGACAAGAATAGCACTTGGAGGAATTAATTTTTATCTACTATTGTAATGTCACAAACTGATCAAAGAAATACAGTTCAAGATGATATGCAAGAATAGCTACTGATTCACTATTGAGTGAAACTCAGAAGAGAGTGATATAACCACATTGACATTATGCTCTGTTCCTGAGATCTGGTAGCATTCTGGTCTTTTAGCCTTTATCATTTATCTTTCTGTTATTATATTCTCTACCTGGTAATGAAAATACAATCTAGAAGTGGCAGGTTTTGAGCACAGATTTTCTTGTAAGGACTCCCTAAGTGCCATCATGATTAAAGCTAAAATTGTGTGCCATTTAAAGTCATCTTGTGGTAACTGATGTCTTATATTTTGCTTGGTATTTTTGCAGATTTTCTACATTTGGCGTAATTACAGCTTTGCCCTCTTGCCTATGTAGGCATGCATACATTGTTATATGCCTGCATCTGTCTGTAGGCACAAATGCTGCGTATAACAGTAGTATTAGGAATATTATTTACTGTGTTACATTTTAAACTTTTTAGTTTTATTTAATCAGTTTTGTACGTAGCATTTTGTTAAGTATCATATTCCTGGAATATCATCAATGACCATGATCATTATCACCTATAGATCCTGGGAAGTCTCTACCAGAAGCTCTAGATTATTGCAAGATTTGGTTGCAGACAGCAGCAGGAGAGTTAGATGCTAAAAGTGGTATTCCACCTCCTCTTATCACTGTGCAAATTAAAGACTTCCTTAATGGACCAGGTAAGCATTGCACTTTAATCTCTATTTTCTAATGTAATCTATTTGTAAATATGCACACATAGACACACACATTAGAACATCAGAAAGATGTTATATTCCTTGCCAATGAATGTGAAATTTTCCTCCAGCAATTACTCTGAATTGAAAACAAAGCTGAGGAATGGTCAGTCCTGGACCAGTCATAGGTTTAAGGTCCAATTTATTTTCTTCCCAAGGTAAATTTAGAAATTTTACTCCTCAAGAAGGCTGAGGTTGGCAAATTTCCAGCAGAATTAAACCTACCTACTTCTGGCCCTAGAACAACTGAAATTTTATTACAGTTATGTTTATAAAAGCTGACTTTGAAAATGTTTCTGAAGATTTTTATAAGCTGCCTTCTCATGGGTTATTTGGAATCTGGATACCTGGCATTGCAAATTCCTATCATCTAAAATGTTGATACTGTAAAATTTTAAAAATAGGGATATTCTGTTTCTTTAATTAACACAGAATGTAAATAGTCTAGTATGAAGGTTTATTAGCATTTACCTAAAATAATGTGTCTTGAAGTTTCACTCCTAGAGTGTCAGAAACTCCTGCAAATTAAAGTGTCATCCATTCTCTATGTTGTGAATTACGTATTTATAATTACATTACTATGTATAATAAAATTCAGGTTATATTAAGAGTTAGAAAATACATTTAGATTTACCTGAGCCATCATAATTCATTTTTATTATGCATATTTGTTATGATTGTGTATAATTTGAATTGTGTAACATCTTTTTTTTCTCCCTGAATATCCTTACTGCACTCAGCACACAGAATGAGCTGTTATCAGTCATTTAGTGAGCAACTCTTCAGTACTGTCTTTTCCTATTCATTCAGTTACTTGTTCATACAGTCTTACAGCACACTATCTGGCTCTACTGCAGACTTACTTCTTTCCTTTTCATTGCATACTGCTTTAGGATCAGAGCACTACAGAAATACGTGTGCAACCCTCCCGTGAGTGATGGAACAGCGTGCCCTCGCCATTTCATGGAAGGCAACTGAGGCACAGGGAAATTAAAGGTTTTCTCATTATGTTAAGGCTACCAATTTAAAACACACAATTTAGTTTTCCGAGGTACTTTAAAAATATAGAAATTTGGATATTGGAAACACAGTTCATACTGTGTTTTGGGTAAAGCAGTAATCACTTCTGCCTGTCAGACCTCAAGGATATCAAATGGAACAACCAGAGAATGAGACATACTTACCCACTGACTGTAAATACTGCAGTGAAGTAACTTGAAAATCCCCTTTTTGCATGCAGGCAAGGCGGGAGTCTTGAGGAAAGAATGAAGTATGAGAACAACCTCATCATTGCCCCTTTTTGGTTTTCTCTGCTGCCTTAAAAGCATTATTTTAAGACAAGATTTTAAAACCATCTGACAGTGCAGAGCTTTTGTTCTGTTGATCCCTATTTGACTTCATTAATAGGACTTTGAACCCGTGGACCTGCTGCATGTTCTACTGCCATTTGAACTAAAAGATTGGTTGATAATGGTAGTAGATTTTCATTCTAATCACGGCCAGCACAAGAGGGATAGAGACCTACTGTCAGTGTCACCTTTATAGATAGCTGGTGAAAGCAGAGGAATGTCAAGAGTCAGAATTTTTAAGTTCCATTGGAAAGCCAAAAAGAAAATGTATTCTCTCTTGAGACTATGATCTTTTGGTCACTGCTGTCAGATTTCTTTTTTCTTTTTTTTTTTTCCGCTCCAATTTTTTAATGTCCTCTCTCCCCACATCTGGCAGATCCCCATATTCCCAGACCCTTCGTCAAGGTTCTCACTGTAGTTTTCTGGCACAGCCTTTATATTTAATATATTACACACCTGAAGGTGTTTCCCTGACACTCTCCTCTCAGTAGGACAGACTTCTAACTAAACTAGCAAACATGGGGGCTGGTACCAGCTTGCAGAGTATGTATTCGCAAGCAGTCTTGGTGTCTACCCCATTCTCAGCAATTCAGCCAGATCCCCAGTGGGTGTTACATCTCTCTCCTCCGTGGCATTTGGCTACATGGGGAACTGGAAAACCATAAATTAATCCATCATAAACTTCAGTCTGTTTCTTCTCGCAAAATATATAAAACTTCAGAGATTTCTTCCAGGATCTCTTCTTAGCCAAAAGGGGCGCTTTTTTTTATCATCTTTTTGCTGCTAATTGGAACTATCGTTACACATGACTGAACAGTAATTACTCTAAATTTTAATGAAGTGTTTTGCTGGTGTAATATAATGAAACAGCTCTGCATTCCTGTGCAGATTTTTCTAACCTCAGCCGTTGCCACTATGAGATCCTCTTCAAATAAACTAACTTTTACCAAGAAACCTTCTGGGGGGGGCTGGAGGTTTCGTTGAATGAGTAATGGAAGGCGCTTCCCGCATGTGATTGCATCAGAACAACGCCCGCAAAGAGCTATGACAGCTTGACAGCTCCTCAGCAGGCTACTGGAAAATCAGTGGCCAGCTCTCCTGGGGGAAAGGCCTCTGACTGCAGCTCCTTCCAGGGCCAGGCAGCTTGGCCTCAGCGGGCCTGGAGAAAGCCTCTCCATCACCAGAGCTGGCGGTTGTTTACTGAGGACAAGAACCTCGGCAAAACTCCCGAGAGCTCACATAAGGTCGCCAGGCAAACGATATCAGCGATGGGAGCCATCACACTTAATAAATTGAATAAATAAGTGCACTGCTGGAGTACGCTTATGTTGTAGGCCTCAAAGGCCTGCTCTTTTTGGGTGAGCATTTGGCAAGTTATGCTGCTACTAACTGGCATATTTTCTAAGGACATGCTGTGTGTTTGCATATTCATTTATGTCTATATGTTTTATAATGCAGTAAGTAAATTATTAAAATGCCCTGGATGCACTGGTGGGTGCTGCCTGTTGGGTACAGCTGATCTGCTGTTCTGAAAAGTCAGCACGTTTTTAAAAGCTGTACCTATGCAGACAAAAGTCTGGGTATAGCAGCTGCTACAACTGTACAGTTTTCTGCATCGATTTTAAGTGTTCAGAGTTCAGTGGTTTAAATGTGATGTCATTTTTCTTACAAAATACATTGGTTTTGTGCTGAGGTTGAATTTCAAATACAGCAATCAAACATGCCTCTGTTTTATGATGCAAACTACTACACAAGCAGTTAAAAGTAAAAATCTGCAAGTGGTTCCCAGTGTTTGCTGTGTTAGATAAAACCGGTACTCCTTGTAAATAGTTTGTCAGCTGAAGCAGATAAGTGGATAGTGTTCCACAGAACAATTGTACAGTTTCGCCACACAGGAAACCAGGTTGTCAGTCCATATTAGCTTGGAGATCAAAAAACTACAGCAAGTAGCTAAACTTGGAAACCACTAATTAAATGAGAATAACAGGATACATTAATGCACTTCTTGCCACACGAGATGATTATTTTGTACATTTTTGGCAACTAAAGAAAAATGATATTTCTTCCAGATTTAAGGTAATAGGATCCTAGGAGAAATAAGCATTCATCATCAGGCCTGTGGGAACAGACATCAATTTTAACCCCACAATGTATTAAGGGACTATTCTTTCTCTTTCTACAGTAACTAATTATTTAATTTTTTTTAAATTCCATCTACATCAGTTTACATGACCCTCTATCTTTTATATTCAGTCTGTTACTGGATTGTACTTCTAATTCTTGTCTAATACATATAAGTGAACTATTTATTGCTTCAGCATTAGATGTTATTCATTAGGTGAGGAACAAATAAGACCATCTTGTTTTGATAGTTTTTGAAAATTTATTGTCTTTACCCTCTAGTCCTTTGAATATTTTTTTTTAAATCAGCTATGCTTTCTTAGCTATAAAAGTTGTCTTTTTGATGTCTTTCTGCAGATGATACAAAACATGTTTGTGAGGTACAGCTTCATACAAATTGCCCTAAAATACTTATACACGCAAAATATAGGTGGTTCATGCCAAAGTCCTTTTCTCCCACCAGTTTCTGGGAAGACCTTAAGCTAGGTGTGAGTTAAATGTGGTCCTTGATACTTCACCTTTCAAAATAATTTCTACAGAAGAAACTGCCCAGACAAACTAAGAAATACCATGTTCCACTGGAAGATAAAAGTGAGAACTGGAGGACCTGCTTGGGGCTGCTCTTTCCTGCTGTCCCTCCCTGGCACGGTTTGGACAGCACGAGGGGCACAGCACTGGATTGAGGGCTATGCATGAAAAGCGACAAACAAAACTGCACCATGGCCCTGTCTCCAGCTTTTTTCCTCCTGTTTGCAAAGGCAATAACTGTATCCATTAGCAAGGTCAGTGGTTTGGAGAAACCTGGAAAATAGCAGCTACCAGAAACCCACTAGAATAATATCTCCAGCAGGTGATAGATTAGTTGGAACAAATTGGAACCATTGCACTTCAGCAATCCTGGTTTCTTTCAAGCTGTTTTAAAAATGTCGTCATTTTAATACACAATATCAGCCCTGCGGAACAGTCCACAGCAGGTTAATTTGAATCATATGATGTATCACTGCCCTCAGCTGACATGAGCTCCGTTCCATGTGTGAAGCCATAATAAATCCATTCCCAACCGAGGCAAATTCCCTGTGAGAAGGTGAACTAATCCAGGCCTCACACTGGCATGTTAGCCCTCCATAATTGAAAGCAGGGCCACCTGTTCCCAGCACAGTTAGCCTATAGAAAGAAAATTAGCATTAGATCAGATACTTAATATATTGAAAAATCGTTCATACTACTTGCAAGTTCAGCTGTGGGCTGCTTAGCATGACATCATATATAAACCTAGGAATGTGCCCACTTGATCCCAGTTTAACAGTTTTGTTAACCATGGAGTTTGTTAACTTTGAAATGGGAATTTTTTGATTTAATGAGAGCTGACACGCGAGAAGGGGAACTAGCCAAGGTGCAGACTTTTCTAATTAACTCTGGGTCATTTGCAAAACTTTGAGCTTTCTAGTACGTTTTTTTTCCCTTTGCTCTTTT